AAGAAGAGAAGTAGGAGAGGAGACACTAGATTCAGAGATTCGGACCCCTACAGACTGCCAGGAGTTATAACTACATACTGAAAAGAAGAAAGAAGTTTTAAACCATCAATTGACAGTTTTTCTTCCTTCAAGACAAAATTGGTTTAGATTACTTTATCTTGTGTTTTCTTTTAAAAGTGTAGGGGTCAGTTTCATAAAAGCCTAAATACTCTGTTTTTTTGAGTTTGAGTTAACATACTGGCTAAACATGCTCTCATAAATGTCAACAGGCTAACAGTGCTAGCTAGCTAAGGGCTTAACTGAAAGAAGAATGTTTTTTCTCAAAATGTAATTGTCTCTTCCCTTGCTCATGAAGCATTTCCACTCCAATATACACAAAGGGCCGAATACTGCAAAATGCTGAGCCTCTCTTGCCATGATCTGAGTACAGTGAAATCAGTGACAGTAGAGCCTTCTCTGCACACCTTAAGAGGTATTCGGCGCCATGCAGGATTGTACACAAAATTAAGGGGCTGTGACATTACAGAAAATGTCCCTGCCTCTAGGAATCCCATAGCACATAATATAAACAACCAAAGTGCTGACTTGAGTGCCTTGTGGTTCAACTGGAAAAGGAAGCGGTTTCAACTTTTAGCTGCAAGAGGCAAAAACTAATGCCTTCTCAGCTATACTGAGAAGGAACAGGAAAGGTTTATCTTCCTCCTGTCCATCCCCACCCTAAACCAAAATCAGAACTTGCCACTCCATAATATAAGCAGACACTTGACACTCTGGGACCAACACATCCAGCTTGTCCCCAGACTTTGGCCCTTGCACCAAAGAACAGGAAATGATAGCTGGGCCATTTAGGACACCGCAGAAGGCACACAGAAAATGTTTGTCTTTAATTACTGGTATAAAACTGAGCTGACTCCATAGACTTCACTTTACATTAATGAAACAGAACAGAATTTGACCCCAAATTTTGCCTTTTGGCAACGTATTGTATTTTTCACAACAAAGGCATAGAAGTACAAATCTAACTTGCATAGTAGTTGTCCTGAGAGTTATTTAGTTTGTCTTTTTTATTGGATTGTTTGAGGATCTTTTTTCTATAACAGACGTTTTTCGGTTAGAGGACACAAATGTTTAGTTTGGATAAATGTCCAAACATCTCCAGACATTTTGAGGTTTCCTTCCCTTCTTTTCCTCCCCATCACATGACCCTATAATAACCTCTTATACCCTGCTGTTTACCTGCAGTCCTCATCTACATAAGCCTTTGTCTTGTACCAACCTATAATCCGATCTTTGCTCGTATGTCCAACATAGTACCACTAGTATGGCTCTGAAGACGAGCAGTATGTTGTTTTTGCCCTCTGTTCAAATAGTGAAGGAATAACACAAGATTCTTCTCGCTCCAAATGCTTTATGTATGCCACTCAAAGTCAGTTGTGAGTTTTGGACTTCAGTTTTGAAGTATTTTATTTCAGAAAACTGGTAATAGCAAAATTAGTAGGTCTTTGCTCTGAATCTGGCCCAAATGAAGTGACTGAAAATTATTAACATCAGAAGCTTGTTCACTGGCCTATGAGAAATCAAAGAACACTAGAACTGGAAGAGACCTCGAGAGGTCATTGAGTCCAGTACCCTGCCTACACCATCCCTGTACTGTTTGCACCATCCCTGATAGACGTCTATCTAACCTGCTCTTAAATATCTCCAGAGATGGAGATTTCACAACCTCCCTAGGCAACTTATTCCAGAGTTTAATTACCCTGATAGTTAGGAAGCTTTTCCTAATGTCCAGCCTAAACTTCCCTTGGTGCAGTTTAAGCCCATTTCTTCTTGTCCTATACTCAGAGGCCAAGGAGAACAATTTTTCTCCCTCCTCAAAAATGCGTTTGATTATCTCAGTCCAGTTCCCAGTGGACAGATGTCCACATCACAATAAACAGTGTTGTAGGTAGCACTGATCAGCACTTTAGCTGCTAGTCTCAGCAGAGTCCAGTTACTGAAAGGATCAAAGGAACTCAGCCATCCTCTAGCTCCTGAAGAGGGTTAACATGCATTGATAAGGCTTAGTGGGAATGGCTGAAAAACACAAATAAGGTGGAAGGCTAATCATTTCTTAAGCAGAAACCACGTGATTCACACGAGTGAGAAGCAAAAAGACTCGATGATGCATTATCTTGTGAGATGTATTATAACAAGGACTTTAGCAAGGCTCATTTATTTCTCTAACTCCTTTATGTTCCCAGTTCATTTCCAAAGGAAATTGCATTTATTGCATGCTCTGTCAGAGAATGGGCAGCTTACAATTTTTTATTCAGCAAAACTAGTAAAAGCTCTCCTAGCTGAAATGCTGCAGTGCAATGGAGCCTATGCCTCTTGCTATTTCAATTGCCTGATTGCTTTTAATGATTCACCATGGGTGCTTGATAAATCTCCCCTTTCAGTTCCGTGAGTCTCACGCTAACTAATTTGCCTTCAGCCTGTTTTTCTTGAATGGCCTAACAAATGAACAGAAGAGGTTAAGAGAGTGTCTGCTTTAGGAAGGGCTCTTCTGCTTCAGTTCATAGAAAATAACATGCATTAAAAATGAGATCTGGGATCTGGAAGTAAAATAAAGTAATACATTCTAAACATGCCAGGATGCAGATTCTCATAAATCACCATAGTTCCATTGGCTTCAGTGCAGCTCTGCCATTTTACAGAGTGGAGGATCTGACCTCGTGTGGATATGAAATAACATACGTGAATAACACCCATCAACATGCCTAGAGCTTGGGAGGAAAGGAAACATATCTGTGCACTTCCTACAGAGATAAATTAAGCACATTGTGCTGGATTACTAATTAGCATATTGGGGATATTCAGAAAGGTCGGTGTGTTTTCAAAACTAAAAGCCAAATTGTGTTTTTATGGTGAACTGACTTAAACAATTATTAGTAATTTAGGATTGTACTTGGGGCCTCTTCCTACTCCCCCCAAAAAATGTGTTTTAAATCTTGAAGATTTTTGATCACAAGGGTCACTGAAAGAAAAGGAACTCGTAAAAGATTTAGCAAAGCCATACAAATGGAAACCTTTCCCCTGACTCAGGTATGGCTTAAAACAAGAGTTGAGTGAAAAATGGGGACATTTTTTCATGGGAAATGAGTTCCCTATTTTGTTGAAAAAATTCAAAATGTATCAACTAGCTTTGATGAGAAATTGTTTGTAAGAGGGACATCTTAGCGCAATACATAGATTCTGATCTGCTGTATAGCATCAGTCAGAGGACTCCCCCAAAATATACCTAGAGCAGATCTTTTAGAAAAACATCTAATCTTGATTTTAAAATTACAAGTGATGGAGACTCCACACAACACTTGTTAAATTATTCCAGTGGTTAATTACTGTCACAGTTAAAAATGTACACCTTATTTCCAGTTTGAATTTGTTGAGCTTCCATTTCCAGATGCTTTGATCTTGTTATACCTGTTTCTGCTAGACAATAGTGCCTGTTATTAAATATTCATTCCTCATGTAGATGGACTGTAATCACTCAGTCATCATCCCTGACTATGGCGGGGGGGGGGTATAATTTTCACAGAGGGGGCCCTTCATGAATTTTGGTACATGGTCACGGTCCCCTCACTCCGAAGGGGCAGGACCTCACACAAAAGGAGTGTGGCTGGGAGCTACAGAGAGAGAGAGTGGGAGTGTGAAAGAGAGACACTCTGTGTGAGAGACAGAGATTGAGTGTGTGTACCACAGAGATGGTAGAGCGTGTGTGGCAGCGTGTGTGTGACAGTGACTGTGTGTCAGAGCCACAGTGTGGCACAAACTGGGAGTGGTTGACAGTGACACAGAGTGTGTGTGTGTGTGCTGTCTGCTGCTGAGTACATTTCTAAGAGAAGCCATACTCTGTCTCTTTAAGACAGGAAAAGCTGTCCTGTTCTGTTGTCTCCCCTCCTTCCCCATTCTGCAGAAATAGGGTATGGGAGGAAGAGTATGTGTGAGTGAGAGAGAGAGCACACAAGCACTGAAATCCCAAAAGCAGTGTACTGCCTCTTAAGACAGGCACTCCTCTGAGTCGTTTACCATCCATGCTTCAGACTGGAGCAACTCTGCTGTGTGTCTCCCTTTCCCCGATCCCTGCTCTGAAGAGATGGGGTACAGAGTCGGGGCACACCCTGACTTCACTCTCTTACCCTGCTTTGCACAGCTAGCAGGAAACACGTGAGAGCAGCTCCTCTGCAGGATGGAGCTAGGTGGGGGAGGAGCAGCTGAATACATGCTGCTGGCTGTAAGTATGCTTGCTCTGCTAATCAGCTGGGTGGGCTGGGGAAAAATGCTTGGCAGGCCAGATCCAGACCCCAGGCCTGATTTTGCTCATCCCTGCCTTATAGTAATATAAATAACAGGTAACATTTAAAACCCACGTTTATAACAAGTGAGTTATAGAAATAGCGTTCTGCTTTCTAGAGACCTTCGTCTTTCAGGCATCCAACACAGTTGCTTTTGTAGTGTTTCCTGTTTTCCCTCTGAACCTACAGTTGTCAGCCCTGTCTTATTACTTCACTCATAGAGCCAAATTTGCCAATACATTCCAACTTGATATCTGTTCTGAAGTGCAGAGCTTAACCAGCCACTTATTCTGGATGTATAACTGCTCTGCATTTCTGGAATAGCACAAAAGAACCTACATGGCCCTGGAGAATCTTACTCTGTGTGAAGTCTGAGGCTTTAATTGTTTAGTGAGCCCCACACTGATGCAGCAGATTCACCCTCATTGCCATATTTAGCTTGCCATATAGTCAAACTAAGCATAAATAGAAAGTATCTATGTATAAATGTATTTTAAATGTATGCTTGTATATTTTTAAAATATCTTCTGGATTTTATTTTATGAAAGATTTATAATCATCTAGAGGACATAAAGTGAACTTCCAACAGAATAAACAAGCATTTTCTCATTAATATATTTGTTAAAAGTAAATAAAAGTTACAACACCGCATTTTTCCCTTTACAGGGCGCACACATGTTTCAACCGCTTGGATCTCCCGCCCTACCCATCTTATTCTATGCTGTATGAAAAGCTGTTGACAGCTGTTGAAGAAACTAGCACCTTTGGACTTGAGTGAGGGAATTCAGGTATTTCTGGTATTTTCCTGGATGAAGATGTCACTTTCTTTCCCCACCGTCGTATGATCTTGGTTTTCCATGTTTTTATTTTTGAAAAACAAAAATCAGGATTGACAAAAGCTGTGCATGAAGATCTGCCTCCCTCTAAGAACTAACCTTCATGCTTTCATCCTCAGTTTCCAATGGACTGCTAGCCTGTATGCAATAGAAAAACAATTGTCTCAAGGTTTCTGTATATCTCCACATACCTCCATTAATAATAATGAAAATATGAATGCAAGTTATGTTACACTTGACCAAATGTTGATAAATGTTTACTTCCACCTACATTGATTAAAAAATAAATAACCTCGTCAACCATTCCAAGCTTCTATATGCCTGTGTCTTCTAAACAAATCCACAGTTCATCTTTCTTCTTACCAGTTGTATTCAGTCCTGGGAGGTGGTCAAGCATTTATTTCATCCATCTGTGTTTTTACTGTACATATCGTCCATCATAGAGATACCTATGAACAAAACTGAAATTTTTATATATGGACTCAAGATCCACATCAACCACATCAGCTGGAACCAGCCCAGACATATGGTGCGAATAAGACATTAAAAAAAAACCTGTAATGCAATGCAAAGTATTTTAGCGATTGCTATGGATAGTAACTTGCCAGTACTGGAAAGAACTTTCACTTCAGACATATTGGGAAAGGCCTCTCTATTGTAATGTTTACCACACAAGAAGCACAAATTTGTGCACATTCAAGAAGGATGTCTCATGTAGCAAAAAGGACAAGGATCCTTTGCCTAAATATTGTACATGACAAAGAAAAGGGGACTAAGAAATGTTCTACTCTTGTTAATATCTTTGGGTTCTGTTTACTGATTCTTTGTTAACTGGTGTTTAAAACACTCCCTTACAAATGAGAAGTATAGACAATCCCATTCCCTATATCAGAAGCCATTGATTTCTTGTCAGGCAGGGTTAACTTCTGGTTGTTATTGGGGAGGGTTGGTTTTTTTTGTTTGTTTTGTTTTTCCCTTTCCTTTATTGTCAAATGCAAACCTCCAGAATCTCAGAACTGGTTGTGCACAGGCAAAGTTCTACTAAATCTGAAGCTGCAGTGAGATTTGTAGCAATTCTTGGAGTGAAATCTGCATGCCTCATTGGGTACCACTGAATTAAAGGTCCAGCTCTTTTCTGGTACCTAGTTGAGGCATCAAATTCTTTAATTTTGCGTCCTTCACCTTCCAGATCCAAAGCCAGAAAAGGCAAGGCACCCAGTTGCATGCTTTTTTGTTATGGGTATTGCTGAGGCCATTATAATCAAGCCCACAACACTGGTTGGCTCCTACATTTAACCTTTGCTGACCTCATTTTCCAAAACTAACTGTGGATTGAAAGTGTTTGTCTTAACTGGGAAAATAGGAAGTAGTGCTTTATTTCTAAGTACTCTAGTGTAAAAGAATACACATAACCAAACATAAGTGAAATACAGAGGATAATTGATATGAGCAATAGCTCAAATGAAATAGATGGCAGTCAGATACCACACCCATCTGTGCCTCTGTTACTATACTCATTGTGTTGTTATGCTTCAGAAAACTGTCAAGTTCATAGACTAATTCAACCGTCAACACATTCTGTTCTTATAAATCTACCCTTCAAAGAATATAGTCAGGCCCAGCCTTTCCATGAGTTTTTACTGACTATCATATTTACTATTAATACATTAATGTGTTTTCTAATCATTTTGAATGATTTTCTTCTTTATTTGCAAGTTAGTGCTGTACTTATCTTAAGAGTGACAGGTAATGTGCTTCGAAGCAGAAATACTATATTTTGGTGTAATCAACATATTAATTTTTAAGTGCTCCATTAATTCTACTTCACTAATATTTGATGGCCACTTAATAGTATTTTATTGGGTGTTTCATTTAATGTTAGTTAGTTAGTTAGTTAGTTAGTTAGTTAGTTAGTTAGTTAGTTATTTGATGATAGTCATTGAGGACCCAACTATAGATCAGGATGTTTTGTGTTGGGCCCTGTACACTTGTGTAAAAACACAGTGCCTGTCCCAAAGAGCTCTTCATTACATAGTCATATACTGTGGATGTTAGTTTTGAGAATAATTATGTAACCTGTTTCTTTATGCATCTGTACCATCAGGATGAATTATGTGAGAGTGCGTTATTCCAGGATTTTCACAAAAGCTCTGACTCTCATGCTGCAGTGTCCTCAGCAACCTCGACCCTATTCAAAGGGAGCATCTCATAGTTTGGGTCCCAAAGGCCAAGATTCCTGTTTTATCCCTGATAGAATCATTACAAAATGGCATATGTTCTGTTTAACACTGATACAGGAAAACAATCAAAGACAGATATCCAGCTAGTTGGTCCAAGGTTCACCAAAGAAAACTGTACATCAAGAGCTGTCTCACTAATATAAAGCGGGAGGGTAAAATTGCAGTCTTTAGATAACTGTATAGTTAGAATTTTTTAAATATTTCAAAGCTGTATTTTATTAAAAAAACTATTTTTTGTATCATAATGAAAGATATTTGTATTTGCACAGACAGCGTATAACTTCAGACTGAAACAAGAAACTGCTTCTGAAGTTTTTCTTCAGATCAGGTTTGATATGGGCCATATGCTAAGGTTAGAATAGGTTGTTGGCATCCTCATACTTGGCAGTTATCATGTCAAGCAACTTGGTATTGCAGATTAAGAAAATATATGGCATGATCATCTCTTTTTTTTCTACAAGTATCACAATCTCTGGCAAAAAAAACTCCAGGAAGTGCACAGCATGGAAATATTAAAATAAAAAAGCTGTTTTCTCAGATGATTCTGATGGAATCAAAATGGAAATACTCTGCATATTCATGCATCAAAAATAATAGTGAGGGAAATCAAATGACTCTCTTTCTGCATGTCCTCGTAACCCTTTTACAGATGCTCTTGCTAGATTTGTCACCAAAACATTGAAACTGTGGAAAAGAAAACACTATACTTTCCCTTTTTTCCCTTCAGAATCTTCAGCTGATGCTATCCTTTTAATTCCCATCTCTTGATAAAGTCCTACTCAAGTAAATTTCACATATTCATGTCTTTGGAATATCATTTTTATGATGGTTTGCATAGTTAACATCTCACAACAGGAACACTTATTCATTCTATCTTTTCCATTTATTGATCTTTAAAAACACACACAGACACACACAAGAGGAACTGTTTTCCCATGTTCTTCAATTCAAATTCCATTACTTATCTTTATATGAGAGAATTCTGCTCTCTCGTAGGTCTGCATATGCATCATAATCATTTTGATTATTCATGAGACTCATTTATTCTCAGCCCTTTCTCGGGAAGAAATAGAGGGTTTTCGACAGGAAGACTGTTGTGAAGCATATTAAAGATGTACAGAACAATCATAACACATTCAATTTCCTTCATCCTAATTCCCTTCTTAAAACATTGTGTTCTGACATTAAGATAGACAAGATATCAGTATTGATAGACAGATTCTAGGCTTTAAGAAGAAAACAATACAAAAACTGTGTTGTAAAGACAGTCTT